AGTCTAGGCACGACCAGAAAGTATAATTCCGAGCTTGTTTGTGAAGGTCTCTGAAGCTTCGGAACATGGTGGTTGCTCGGACCGCGGTGAAGCGTGGAGGCGGTGCTGGTGCTGTCGGATCTTTGGCTTTTGTTGTTGATGGATGGCGGCGATCTCTGGGTTGTGCTGCTGCGCTTGCGGAGGTGGAGGAAGACGGCGAGTAAGACGATGGCGACGGCGGCGATGACGGCAGCGACGGCTCCTCCGATGAGCTTGGAGGAGGCGGATTTGGAATTGGATTTGGATTTGGAGGCGGGGGGGACGTTGAGGGAGGAGATGTTGGCGGGGACGGAATCGAGTGAAGCGGGGGCGGGAGGCGGCGGCGGCGGAGGGGAGGAGATAGACGGGAAGAATGGAGGGGTGGTGGGGGTGGAGGTGGTGAATGGGTATTTGGGCGGCGCTGTTGGATCAGTTAGGGGAGAAGGGACTGGGGGTTGTGAGTCTTGTGGGAAGAAGGGTTGGTGGAGAATGCGGCGGTGGTGGACGGCGGCGGCGGATAAGGGACGGCGCGTGAGGGATAAGAAGACGATGAGGATGATGATGGTGGTGGTGGGCATTGTTGGCTTTTACTGGTGTAGAGAGAGAGAGTGAGAGAGAGAGAGTAAATGCAAGGTATAAAAGTGTGAAGGAAGTGTGTAACTGTGTGTGTCTGTGTGTGTGTGTGTGAGAGAGAGAGATATAGAGAGAGAAAGTGCAGTACAGAAGAGAGAGAGAGAGAGAGTGAAAAGGGGTGAAAAGAGAAGATACGTGACAGTGAGAGAGTAGATTAGGAAAAAGTGTAGTTGTTGTTAAATAATATAATTAGTAAATAATTGGAGGACTGGATTATTAATTAATTAATGTAATAATAATAATAATAATAATATTATTATTATGTTATCTGCATGAATGAATGAATGTTTATGTATCCAGCTAAGACTCTGCTGTTGAAATTTTGAAATGCCTCTTCTTTCACTCCAATAGTAGAGTCACACTATATATCTATATTAAGGGATTATTTCTATAAATAATTATATTTTAAATATTGCATTCACACCCCTTAGGTTTGCTGAAACTGTAGAAACGCCTCATTTTTTATATTTTTATTTTAAATACGTGTGGTTCATTGAACCAAAAGTGGAGAATCATCATTCAGACTTATTGAATGGTCATTGATTACTATTATGGGAAGCTTTTAGAAACTTTTATGCCTTTACAACCTTTTTTTCTTTTAAGTAATTTATGTACTAGTATTCAGATTGTGGATGGGCACGTGACTCAAAAAAGATCATTGCATAGGGTAAATTACGGCCAATTCCTTAAGTAAAATTAAATTACGCAATTTCTTGTTAATTTTGGATAATTACAATAATCTCTTAATTATAAATCTTCTTACATGTACATCTTTGTGCTGTCAAATTTGAGTGGATTTTCTAGATTATATAGAATATTCTCCAGTTTGTACCATTTTATCACATTTGCGCTCCACATTTTGAAACAAAATGATCATAAGGTGTATCTATTGACTTATAAGTATCAGATTGTGGTGCATCAGATCAGCATCTTTGCACAAAACATATACAAACTATAGAAAATTCAACGGAATCTAGAAGATTATGTTGAATTTGACACCATAAGAATGAACGCGTAAGAAAATTCAAAATTAAGGATGATTGTAATCACCCAAACAAGAGAGATTTTTTGTAGTTTAACCTTACATCAGGGGGTGTGCCCATAATTTATCCAATATTTTAATTTTTAGTATCATACTATCGTGTGTGTGTACATATGGAAAAACTTTGGGTATATGTATATGGAAAAAAATTTAATTTGGGTATAAATTTTTTGGCATCGTTTGATTGAGAAATTATCAAAACATTTAAGAACTACATATTTTGTGTATATGGTGAAGTGTGATGAATGGTGTGTGTACTTTGGTGGCACCGACACTTTGAGGTGCAGAATAAAAGATTAAAAAAAAGTATGAGGGCATTATTGTTATTAAATTAGTGTGACGATGTGAAACATTGGAACCTATGATTCGTAATTATTATCTGGTCTTTGACTTTATTTTATTTGCGAAATCGATGTTTTTTCAAAGCGTCCTCTTTTTTTACTCCCTTTCTACGCTTCTCTCTCCACCATGCATAATAAATAATAATAATAATAATAATAATAATAAATCCAATATATATTTTAATATTTTTTTTCTCTTGATCTTCGAGTTATAACATTATGCGCACTAATAACGTTATTCCTTGATGAAGATGCTTCTGTTTTGTTCAATTGCTATATCAATATATATATATATATATATATATATATATATATATATATATATATATACACACACGCAGATCTGTCTTCTTCGTAATGTCATTTTTTGTCTAAATATTATAAGAATTAAATAGTTTTGTATTATATATATATACATGCAAACACATTGGATAAAATATAACATGCCATACTAATAAATATGACACATATCAACATTAATCACGCCAATGTTTGCAGATTCCAGGGTCTTTTTTTCACTAAAGCAATAAATAATATTATTGCCGTAATCCTTTATGCATTATTATTATAATTATTATTATTATCATATTTATTTATTAAGTTATTATTGTTGTTGTAAAGATTGACTATTGACTAACCAAACAAAGAGAGTAAATGGGCCCTTGTGTCTTTTTCGGTGGGATGATGCTATATTCTTGTCTCTTGACACATACCAAATAATTATTATAATTAAATACATGAATATGTAAATATATTAACTGAAATGATTTGTGCAGGCCAAAATTAAACATTCAGGCACATTTTTTACTATTCTTCAAAAAACAAAAAGTAAAAAAACTCAAAAACTCTCTCAAACTTTCGATTTTCTTTCGCAAAGCCCGTGCAAATCGTCAACAGATC